GTGTACTATACTAGAATAGTTCTAAAGTGGAAAGCACTCTCTAGCAGTTTCTAAGTAATGATGGGTAGAGCAGGGTTCACTTTGTCTGCTACTTCGGTACTGAACTATACTAGAAAGAAGTGGTGGGCGGTTGTACACTACTGGTAGGGGTCGTTTAGTAATAGTGTACTATACTAGAAATAAGCAGTGGTAGGGATGGTAGGGCAGTTTAAGAAAGCAGGTACTGAGATACGAGGTCTGTAGTAAAAGATCTGCAGGCTTTTCAGCCTGTAAGCTAAGCTGGATGATGCTTCCAGTAATGTTTCTCCGGGTGTAATGTACAGGACCCCGGCCTGTAATCTGCGTACAGTCATAAAATTCGATTTTCAATGGGAAAAAAAAAAAAAAAACTGTGCAGTCAATGGGACACTGGACCCGGTTTCCAGTCTATGGTAATGATCCCACCGGTTACTTGCGGGTAGAGATGCCGAGGTTCCCTGGCCTCTTTTTTTTTTGTATTTTTTTTTCCAAAATCGTTAACAAAACTGCAGTGTGCTTGCTTTGAAAAAGGGGGGGAGGGGGGAACGATTAAAAAAAAAGGGAGAAGGAGGACGTGCACTGTCCACTACACAGTGTGTGCAGTGTGTAGCACACATGACGCAGCACATGTTGCATAGTACGCATGACGTACTACATGGTGCACAGTACATGTTGCCTAGTACACAAGTCCTACTACACATTGCCTGGAGAGGATGAGGATGATGATGATGATGAGAGAGAGAGAGAGAGAGAGAGAGAGAGAGAGAGAGAGAGAGAGAGAGAGAGAGAGAGAGAGAGAGAGAGAGGAACAGGGAAGAAGAGTGGACAAAGTCTGCAGTAGACGGTGCCTGCAGTCACGAGTCCCCCAGCCTGCACTTTCGAAGTGACAGTCTTAAGCAGCAACAGATTTACATTCCATTACGCAGAGAAGAAAAAAAAACAAGAAGCAGGAAACAAGGCTGATGAGCAGAATACTAACATTTTATCTGCCTTCTCCATTCTCTCTCTCTCTCTCTCTCTCTCTCTCTCTCTCTCTCTCTCTCTCTCTCTCTCTCTCTCTCTCTCTCTCTCTCTCCATACACACACACAAAAGAAAACAAACTGAATGACTACACAAAAAAACATACATATCTTCCTCACCCACAAAACACCCAGGTGCCCGCTTTATCAAGCAGCTTGGCTTCACGCAATTTTTCCTTCAACCATCATCAAAATTCATTCCCCACGCGCTCAAAAAAGAAATTTGTGAGGGCGACGGCCTCCTCTTCTTCTGATACCATCGTCCAACTGACCGTAGCCCTGGGAGATTCAGAAATGTTTGGTTCTGTCATCAGATTGTATGCACAATTTTTTTGCATGGATTATTATTGTTGTTTATTATTGTTGTTTATTACGTCGTTATTATTACGTATCAACTTTTGTTTGTGGGGAGCATATGTCACGCTGCATTGTGATTATTACGTTTTGAAACGCGTTAGGGGTGTCTTGTATTTTGCATGGATTATTTGTTGCTGTTTAATACGTTGTTAATAACTTGTTATTATCACCTATCAGCTGTTGTTTGTAGAGGATAACAGATTTGCTTAGTCGTTTTCCCGTTTTTTAAATGAAGTTTTTCGCCATGGTGTCAATGATGTTACTCCTTGAGATATATCTGTGATGCGTTGTTATTATAAATTCACATTTGTTATTATCCCGCCCAACGTGCGCCCGCATGCACAGCGTGTTTCTGACATTTGCGGGCATGCGTTTATGATTGATGGCGTTCACCGCTCGGTCCTCCTGGACATCCGTTAAAATTGGAACCGTACAGGACAAAAGAAAAAGACTAACATGCCCCCTGCACAAGTATGACACGCATAAATCGAGAAGTGATTGGTGCCACAATCATATAAAAATGGGTCTGGCATGCACAACGCTGTTGTCGTTGTAATGGTGATTCTTGTTATTAGGATTAATACTAGTGCTATCTATTTGTGTTGCGGTTTCGCATTTTACAAATGGAGAAACTGGGAAATGAGAGTTGGGATTTTGGGGGGGCGGGGGGGGAGGAGTGGGAGTCATATATATATACATAGATATATATAGTTTAATAAAAAAGGGCGACAACTTTGAGATATTATCGTCGAACTGATCGGCCCTAAGCATGGAATCTTCGATGAATCGTGAATGAAATCGCCACACCAGCTCTCGAAATGTGAAAAAAACAAAACCGTGGCGGGTGCATGTGGCCATGTTCTAGGGGGAAGTTCACCCTCATTTTGCACATTTGGAGAGTGGTGTGGCCATGCCCTAAGACATTCATTGGGCTTCCCTCTTAGTAGCTTAGTGCACCCTTCCCTTGCTTCCATACACGGGCTGCCCCCTAGTTTCCACCCTTCATTCCTCAATCGAAGTCAACAGGCCACATCCTGTCTCTTATACACATCTAGATGTGTATAAGAGACAGCCTTAATCTATCTCCCGCGATTGATCGGCTGATCAATGGCCGTTCCCTTGTTTGATTGGTTGGCTTCTCTCTCTCTCTCTCTCTCTCTCTCTCTCTCTCTCTCTCTCACACACACACACACACACACACACACACACACACACACACACACACACACACACACACACACATTACTTCTACCTCCACCTCGGCCGTTCGTCAGCCAAAGATAATTACTGACACCCTCGTCTGGTGATGCGACACTCAACAATCTTATCCACCAACTTACTGCGATCACCAGGTGAATCCGCCACGTGGCAGATTCCACTTAGCATCACGTCAAGGGCGAAAAAGCAAAAAAAAACAAAAAAACAAAAAAACGAAACAAGGAAGACAAAAAACGAAAAACACACAAAATATGCAATCCAGTTCGCTATTGCTGAGCACGGCACACATGGCACACGTAAAATGGGAGTATAGTGGGATGCCGAGCAGGAATAAATGGAAGTAGAGCGAAACTTCATTACTCTGCATATTAGTGAAAATTTGAGTCGTGACGTAGGCACAAATAAAAAGAAAATAAATAAATCCAAATAAAACCATGGATCGCACGTCAGCCACACAACATTGATTGCCCCCCAAACCAGAGAGGATTGACTGTGGGCAAAAGACCAAAAAAAATAATAAAAAAAATAAGAAAAGCATGCAGTCATGAGGTGGCACACAACATTGATTGCTTCCCAACGCAGGAAGGAATAACTGTGGGCAAGAAAAAAAAAAACATGGAATTAGCACTTGCCACACAACATTGATTGCTTCCCAAAGCAGGAAGGATTAACTGTGGCAAAAAAAAAAAAAAACAAAAAAAAAAAACCATGGAATTAGCACTTGCCACATAGCACTGATTGCTTCCCAAAGCGGGAAGGATTCACTGTGTGCACAATGTACAGCCACCGGTAGGGAGCGAGAACGCACTGTGGGTAAGCGAAGCAGCAAGACACAAGAAGAAGGAAAGTCGAACATCATACTCTTCTTGACGGCCGCCCGAAACACACATCTCCGTAGTTTATGGATGACTTCAGCTCATTAAATGCCATCGAGTTTGCCACTTACAGCTGGTACATCCTGTCCACACTTTGTCTATAATAAAGGCGGAAAGGGCCTTTTCCCTTGACTGTACACATGCGACAGCTCCCGACCCACTCTGGTAGTAGAGAATTGAGAATTGACCGGAGACCCAAAGGCGGACATCGCTTTGAAAGGGTAGCTGATCGGGGGTGAACAAGCGGCGGTGGAGCATGCGGGTTTGGAGGCTAGCGCACGACACTTGGAGTGACGTTCAAGAGTAAGGGATAAACAAGCGCCAGTGGAGCATGCCGGTTTGAGGGCTAGTAGCGAGCAGCACAGGGAGTGACGTTCAGAGTGAGGGGTAAACAATCAATTGCCGGCGGATCATGCGGGTTGGAGGGCTAGTGAGCGGCGACGAACGGAGTGACGTTCACAGTACAGGGTAATGAGAGGGGGAGGGAGCGGGGATGGGATGCATCTTCATTGGATGCTTGTACGCTTGTGTGCCGATCGTTAGCCGCTGCTGAGGAAGGAGAGTAGAGTGTTTCCTTGGATTGGGATTCTCTAAATGTGCTCTTTCTCCCCCTTGGAGTCACGTCAGAAGGGGCGCTTATCACGGCTTCGACAGAGCTTCGGCGATCTTCATGAGTGCATCGCATAGGAGCTTCTGTCCTACATCGGCCAGTTGCAGTTGCCGCTCATGTATGTCGAGCTCACGTTCCAGCACGTTGCACTGCCTGTCAATGATTTCGCATTGCCGCTTGCTTGCCCGTTCCACGGACTCCGCCACAACGGCAGAATGTTCCTTCATCACCTCCCCCACCACCGCAAACGCTTGTTCCCGCGCCATTTTTTTCTTGCCATGGCGTGACCCCTGTGATGCTGAAGCATAATCTGTGCTCATGTCTTCTCTGTCCTCTCCTTCGCTGTCCGCTTTGTCAGCAGTTCGTTTGCCAGTGTCAGCGAGGTTGGTGGGGTTGATCGTCTGGTTGTCGTCCTGCCCAGCGTGAATGGCATCCCATAACTCACGATCTAGGAAGAATTGGAAACCCTTGTCTCTCCTCTGCTTAGCTGTCAACTTCCAGAACGTCGCCATACCCGAACGGTCTTCATGGTTGTCTAAAATATGTTTGTACCACATAAACATATTTTCCCACGGTTTGCGGCATTTTGACGATGCCTGCATCACCCCTTGCGCCTCCATGCGCTTCTCAATGTCAAGCCACTTTCATTCCTTCGTTTTCATCCTCCCCAAGTTCGATGGGAGACCTGCAAGATACTGCTCCATATCCCGCTTGCAGTGGATCAGAATGAGAGATTCACGGTTGTCCCATACATCCCGTCCGTCGTCCGCCTTCGCAGCATCTGCACCACCTTTCTCTCTTGCAACCCCCGTGCTCTCCTGCCCAACGTCGTCAGGACGCCCAGTGGCGGACTGTGCCGGTGCAGCTGGGCTTGCAGGTGGTTCGTCATCCCCTTCCACATCGTCTGGGACAACATAATCGCCCCTTCCCATTGCAGGCCCCTCCGATCCACCGCTAGACTCCATAGGAGTTGTGCTCGGCTGTCGTGGCACATCGTTGTTGAACACCGATGCTGACCCACTCCCAAGAGACCGGAAAGCCGAACTCCCGACACGGATGCACACCCCTCCTCCATGCAAGCCACCCCCTCTTGCGGTAGACGCTGTGGAATGTGCCGAAGTGTTGACGTTCGTACGCGTAGCCCTTGGTGTAGCAATGGATAGGGAGGTGAAGCACTCCATCGGCTCTATTGCAGATGCTGAGAGATGGAGGCCGGTGTCCAGCTCCAATGGCGATGAAAAGGGCCCGGCCGTGGACAGGTCCACCATGTCGTCATCCGAAAGTGGCTGGAGATAGGATGGGAGATGCGCATATGCAGCCGGGTCCAGTCGCTGCTGGCCCGTTGGCATGTTCCACCCGCGGCTGGCATCTGAACCACACGGGGTCACCCGCACCATGCTGCCTTTCTTACCCCCCGCCTTTACTGCCTTCCTCTTCGATGCGCTCCTTGGAGCTCCTTCCTACACCCCACGCCTTCGCACGCTGCCCAGGAACTGCAAGAAACGGAGCAGAAAGATCACCAGCAGCACAAGCGACAAAACTGCTTGAGGACCGCAGTATGCACAGCACTGGCCATGTGTGTCGTGTACAAGTGTTCCCCCACTGAACGCACGCGGACTTCTGATGTCAGAGCCGAAGTGCCTGCCGCGGAGGACGTGCCTGTTCTGGAGGGCGTGCATGCCGCTAACGACGAGCTGCAGTAGCCTGGGCCACGTGCATGCCGATATCGAAGAGCTGGAGGACGCGCCTATGCTGGGGGGCGTGGCTGGTGGTCTGCGCTCATGCCTGCACCGGCTGCCTCGTTGGCCGCGCGGCAGCGAACCCAACGGCTACCCTGCAAGCCGCGCGGCACGTGGGGTGGGCCGGGCTGTAGCCAACCCAACGGCTACTTTGCGTGGTTCACCACCGAGGTCCATCACTGGACCAGGACAACCACGATTGGCAAAGAAAAAAAAAGAAAAGGACCGGACAGGGGGGCTGAACTGCCTGGCGGCGCATGTTGCCACCGTTTCCAAGAAAACTGAAGTCACCTCCGGGAGGTCACTTGAAAATTGGCCGAAGTTGCCTGGGCACCCTACGGCCGCCCTCGAGTTTCAGAGCGGGATTTTGTTGAGGCGGGAAGCTTAATCACTTTCAAATGGTGATTAACACATCTCAAGGGCCTAGTGGAACGGTGCCGCCCTTGAGATTTTTTCAAGTTGAGGGTAGTGGAACGAGGCCCTAAGTATTTTCGTTTGCTGTTTTGTAGGTCATTTCAATTTGTTTTTATTTTTTCAATGTCATCACGCTGTGGGGAGGCAAATGTACCTGGGGAAGCCCACAAAAAAAAAAAAAAAAAAAAAAAAAAAACCACTCTTTAGTGGTCGGCCCGTTCATGGATTTCAGGCCCGGTGACCGGCCGGTCACGGACAGGTGACCGGTGCTGGTCACGTTCACGGGGGCGACACTGGGACCTGGTATGCCAAAGCTAATCTTATTCTACCTAAAATAATGACGCGCAGTTGAGCTGCCGCGCGATTCAGGGCCTAACAGGGCTAAAAAGGAGGGCTCTCGTGCTTTGCAAAAAGGTGGGAGCTGATGCGTTCAACACCGTATCATACAGATGAGAACTCTGGATGCTCTAAAAGAGTGCCTATCTCTCTATGAAGAGCTCTCGGAAGCAACACTGAACTTGAACAAACCTATGTTCTACCTGCCCCCGAATTATAAACTCGTTGTCCCAAAAGAAGAAAAAAAATAGAGTCAGAAAAACAAGTTATAATTGCACTATGGGGCAAGATACAGTTTGCAATTGCACTTCGGGCACTCTGCCTGGCCAGAAAGCTGGGCTGTATACATTGCCCAAACTGCAATTCACAACTGTATCTTGACCCATAGTGCAATTATAACTCGTTTATGTGACTCCGACGTAGTCTCCCCCCCCCAAACAAAGAAAATAGCCTGCCAAAAAAAAGGGGGAATGCGAAGAGTGCAGGAGGGCAAAGTCGAAAGATATCTGGGGGTGCAGCGAGCACTCCCGGTTCTGATTTTGGATTGTTGGGAGTTTGGGCCACTGGAATAGTTTTTTATGAACCGAGACACCCGGTTCCAGTTGGCAGTCACAGGAAACCGCAAAGGGCAGGGTAGGGAGGAGAGTATCGGATGACAATAAAAGGAACATTAGGTACCGCTCGGTCAGAGTAGGCCGGGTTTAGACCGTTCTCCCCTGAATGGAAATGGAGCGAGGGCAATAAGGACCTATTTTATGGGGAAAAAAAAAAGAAAGAAAGTGGAGAAGTGTAGGATTGGGACTTGCTATAGCATAGGCAGTCACAAACTGTAACATTTTATGTTCACTAGCAGTTTGTTTGTGTTCACTAGCGTAAGCATCAATTGTGGGAAATGTGAGTAACTTCAGTGTCTGTCAAAACCAGGCGAGACCAGTGGATTTGAGCATAACAGTGATACTGTATTCGATGGTCGGGTGTTGTAGGATTTTCATTCTGATAATTGTAAGCTTAACTAACTGATGTTGTCAGGATAACTCTCAAACTGGTCGAATTGTGAGGTTGTGAAGATCTCTTTTCAGGATGAGCGCCATCTTCCGCACAATGGTACTGAGGGGGGTGGAGAAGAAGGTGTCACGTCCAATTGCACTAATGCCCTTGTTCTTTCGGGAAAGTTGGGCCCACGACAGTTGGTAGGACGCGCCATAGCAACCGTGAAAAATGACGGTTGACGCAACTTCTTTCTTTCTTTTTTATGACGGGACTGGACGGGGAATTTTTGGCGTGATCGCCGCACGAGGAATCTTTTTGAATTTCTTCTTGAATCTTGGGCTTACACAAATTCTCAGAATTTTCTCTTAGAATTACGACTTTAATTAGATAACTGTACTATGCTCCCTACTCGCGCGGACTTGGCTGCATTCTGTCCTGCGCTCTGTCCCCGCCGCGACTAAATTTAATACGCAACTAAATCTCTTCTTGGCAGGTGCGGGTGTAACTGTAATCATTCCCTTCTTGACATTCTTGCGTGCCCCCTCTTCTCTTCGTCTCGATTGATGCGTGGAAAGTGGCCACGACCCCCACGCCGATTGATGCGTGGAGAGTGGCTACGACCCCCACGCCAAGGCCCAGCCATGCAATTGTAGGCACTTTCTTTTCCCCTCCACTTCAGCGAAATCCCGAGTATCTTGAGGGAATACTAAGCACAATAAATTCTGCACCTGTAACTAATTCTCTCTCTAATCAAACTTTGTAGTCAGCGCGGTCGAGGAAATCGGCTAACGAGCAGGAGCAAGACGGTGAGTAGGGAGTTGGGCGATCCGACGGGCTGGTGCTGAGTATGAGGGGTTGACGTGTGGCCGTGAACGATTGTGGCACACGGACGAACCTGCCTTGCATGCTCGGACTAAGCGGGATGACAACTCGGATTGTTGGTAGGTGCAAGGCGACGGACTAGCCGCATCTTGAGAACAAAGAGAGAGAGAGAGAGAGAGAGAGAGAGAGAGAGAGAGAGAGAGAGAGAGAGAGAGAGAAGTGGTGTGACCTCTTCGCATCCTTTATAAAATTTTGATTTATGGTTTCAGCCATCTTCATTTGTGGCACTCTCGGATTTTCTTTTCTTTGGTAGAGGTATGGATCACCTTTCCCCCCCCCCATTTCTTCCTTTTTAGTGCAGAATGTATGACAATTGCTAGAATTGATTGATTGCTCGAACGACTTGTGTGGAGGGTTGTCGATCGCAGAGCCAAAGGATTGTGATGAGTATGGAATAGGCGCCCTGCTGATGTATGGGAAGATGTATGGAACCCAACCCCTTCTTATATGCCCATGCTTCTGTGTATGTGACATCGATCGACTGTCTATTTTTGCGTTAGGTCTGTAGAAGTTACCTCCCTGAATAAATTTGGGTCAAGATAGATGCATGCATAGCCAGTAGATTACAGTATGTTCAGAAACCGCTTTTGTGCATGTGCCCGAGTATGGGTTGGATCTTCCTCATGCAATATCCACACGCGATTGACATCTGATGCGTGGGAATATTATTCCTTCTCTTTTCCTTCTGCCCATTGAACTTTTGTATAACATTGAACTTTTGTATATTTTGCAATGAGTATACAGGCATCATCTCTTCGTAAGAACAATAGGAGTAGATTAGTTGTATGCGAAAAAGGTTGGCTTGAATTCTGTTGGAACAGATCATGTGCACGCACGCATATGAATGACCACTGGAACGACAGTCATCTCTCATGCGCGTGTCTGCATGATCCGTTCCCGACCGTACCGCGCCTTGTAAAACAAAATAAATGAGTAAATTCCTTCTTGCAAAATATGGACATCGACGTTCCATAATGGATCGGTGCCTCACTTGTTTAAGAGACCCTAAGTACCGAGAATAATGGGAAAACGAACAACTTTCCCACCGATCAAACTTAAGGTTCCTGACCTACCCCTGCCAAACTGAAGACGATCCGCTGTGTGGCTGAGATTTCAAGAGGTTCATCGGACTCAATTCCCGAATCTCGATTACCCCGACACACGTAACCACCAATACAGTAACTACATAACACCCGGATTCGCCGCTATTGAAACCAACTTCCCTCCATTCTATCTCCTTCCCCCTTATCACAATCTAACGGGCGTCCCTTGGGAGTCGATAGCCCCCTTACTGGCCCCGAAGGCCGTGCTCTGAGTGTCGGCAATACTACACCTACCGAGCCACGTAATTTGTCCGACCAACACGATCCGAGGCTGTGCCCAGAACACAGCCTCCGGCTGAGGACGTCCATGTCAGATTCTGAGATCTGCGAAACCCGTCGACGACAAGTGTTTACATAGAGAGACACCCACTGTGTTCCCTCCGTACATCGAGTACGAACCCGCCTCAGGCGACGAGGCCGGCGAAACTAGCCGCTTGACTTTGAGAAGGGCAAAACCAAGAAACTGGTCCTACGCTGAGCCATCTGCACTCCTCTCCTTGAAAACTTGGCACCAGAGATCCCAATTCCGACCTGGGACTCAACCCCACTTTCCAAAAATCCTTAGCACACCCCTGCTACGCACTTCCGGGTCCCCTCCTACTCCGAAAACAGGAAGTCGCGCTGGGCGTGAGGTTGGGCGTCACAAGGTCCCCGGCCTCTGTTGCTTTTTGTTTTTTAATTTATTAAAGGCTAATTCCAATGAAATATGGACAGGACGGCCTCTTTTTTTTTAAATTTATTATTATTATTATTATTATTATTATTATTTATTTATTTATTTTAAAGAAAAAAAATTGGACCATTTCTCGATTTATGCGTGTTATGGAATACATTGATCAGTTTTTTTTTTTTTTTTTTTTTTTTCCAACAATAACGCCGTGGCCAGAATATGTGGGCCTGCCCTCCCCCCAAACAACTCGAGTGCTGTCATTGGCCGTTTTCTTTTGTGTTTAATTCATTGAAACTCGAAAAAACAATATCTGTAACAATGCATAAGAATGACAA